CACTAAGAAATCTACGCTGCTCATTGAAAGCTGTGCCTTTTTCTAAAAGCCGCACCGCGTCGCACGTGGAAGTTCTTGAGGGAGCGAAATTCATGGTGAAGCCAGGAGCGACAGTCCAGGTTGACGCCAAGGGCAGAATGCATGCTCGTTTGAGGGAAGACTGCTTGCCCAAAACCAGCACGAAGTATACCCAAAAAGTGGGTCAGTCGAGTATGGCTGACGGCCTCACAAAGATTATGGCTGCAGCTTTGTATTGATTTGTGTGAACGTCTTGATTTTTCTATTTATAAATCAGTGTCGTGACAGCTTAAGCTTTTTGCTGCGGAGTGGCGTGATAGACTAGAAGCAGGATAGCCGTTGACTTATCTTACAAATAGAAGAGCATCCTTCCCACGAATATCTCCGCACCAAGCAACACGCGTGGCCATTTTTTATCCGAGGCATCATTTTAGAACAAGCTCTAATCTCTGTACGTTCAAGCCGACACCAGGAGAGAAGCAGTGGATCAAAGAAGGCGATCTAGAAAAATTACGCCGCACGAAGAAGTTCTGCCTTAATTGCTGTTTTACGCCTGGTCGCGCGCAATTCTTTTTTGTCGACACCGTAAAGGAGGACATTGCGCAAAACATCAATGAGCCTGCTTTGCCACTCAAAGCAGCGAAGGCCGAGTCTACGTCTAGTGCTACGGCTACGAGAGTCAGAGCTACAAATAGAGACGCGAACAATACGAGTGCAGCAGGCAGTGCCAGTATTGCATGCGTTGACTTTAGAAATTGGCTCTAGGATACCTTAAACTTGTTAGCTGATCAGAGTTATCATTTGCCCTCATAGTACGACTGGCGCTGAAAATTGCTGTCGTCCAAAAAGGAAAAGAAACAAATACTGAGGGCGGTGGAGTAGAGCAACTCTCTACTTCACTAAACGACTTGAGCTGCTATCGCATCTGCAACTTTGCTTGTGTCACTACATGGAGGAAATCTAGAATTATTATTATACTTGCCCTTACAGCGTACCATTTGTATTTTCTGCTTTTTGTTTTTGATTCTACTCGATGTATTCATCGTATGCTTATCCTTGTCCACAGAAAGCGCCTCACAGCACGCTGCGGTGCCGACTCCTGCGCGCGTGCCCATGGTGCGTGACCAGTTCGGGAATATTCTGCGGAAGATGACAAACCAGGAGATCAATGCCAAGTGCTTTCTCGGTGGCTTCTATGCTGTTCCGCGTGGGCCGGACGCAGTAGAGCGAGACCCTTGCCCGCTGAAGACTCTTGCCGACGGTGAGGATCGTGCTTCTATAGAGGATAGCCTCACAGAGGAGGAGAAGCGGCTCATTGCAGAAGCGCGAGCAGATTTGTTATGCTGGGAAAAGCTAACTCAAGTAGCAGTGGCTTATTTTAATTATAGTTCTGCTAGCAAATGCTGTCGCTGGTGCAAAATAATTCAGCATTCGTATTGTTTCGTTTCAATTAGAGGTCGAAGATAGTAGCAGCAGTGCTCTACTTCGCCTCTTTTCAAGAGCGCCGCGTCGCAAAATTCCTGACGCGACCGCTCATGAGTATTTTCTGGCGGTACTAGCTAAGGCAAGTATATCATAAGTTCCATCGAAGGGGCGCTCTGTACTAGGATAGATGAGACTCTCACTCTAAGTTTTGGCCTGCCGTGCGAAACCGCAGACGACTCTGCTGTTTTCGGTGGCGGTCGTGCAGTTGCATTACCAGGCGCAGGTGGCGTGTTGGTAGGACTTCAGCCCGCGGCAAGCAGCTCCTTGCCAAGACACACGGCTGACACAAAAAGCGGAGGCGAGCAGCAAGTTGGTAATCTCCTGGGGAACGGATTTACGCCCACACTTATACTAGTCTATTTACAGGCTCAGGCGCTGAGAGTTGTGCCTTGTTCTAGTCCCTTCTTCTAACCAAACGCGGAAGCAATATTGACACTCCGTGTTCCATGAGTCCGTCGGCCGCCTTTCTAGAAGTCTGCTTTTCTAGGCGCTCTAATTTTTTGGATACGTCGTCTGAGCAAAAAGTGCGGAAGTACATGATTAGTAATCGCGAGCTGCATGCAAGGACGAAAGCCCTCAACTACCGGGACAAGGCTGGCAACAAAATCAATCGGCAATTTGTTCTCTGGGAACACTCCGTCATGGCGCGCCGAGTAGGTTCGCAGCTGGTCGCGAATGGAAAGTACTTGCCCTGCGTTGTTGACGGAAAGCGCGTGGCCTTCTCAGACGACGAGGCGAAGAAGGCTGACATTGCTGAGGGGACCGGCAAAGGGCAATGATATGATGAGAAGAGCGTAGCTCTTTAGAGGGGCTTGGTTTATTTTGAAGCAAGCAGAAGCACACGATGGCGTGCCTGAATCTCTATCAGTGTTTATCTTTGTCAACCATAGACCTGCAGCCCTGCGCAAATGGCAAGTAGAAGTAAGATAAAAACTGCTTTTGTGCCGTCAGGTAATGTTTTTTAGATCACTCCCCCTTACTTTTATGATACATAATGATGATAGTCTGACTAGATTAGTTTGCTGGAATGGCACTCAGTTAGCGAGGCTTCCGTTCATGAAACTCCGGTGCCAGGATTGGACTCTGCGGTCACGCGGCTCCCACGATCGCTGCGGACGTTGCCACCCGAAGAGGTCCTCACGAAATATCAGAAGTGCGTCGTCACTGCACCGCGCGGCGTTTATTCTGCAGGAATCTACGGGCGTGGAGTGCTGAGTGCGGAGAAGAAAGCGGCCCTCACTCTCACCTACGCGAACCACGGTCGGACCAAGGAGGAGCTCTCTTTTGCGTCGATCGCGGAACAATTACGACTTGCCGAGCCCCAGGCGATACAAAGTGATGCTTTTCAGCTCACATGCGACGACAAAGCGAATGGCGAGCATCGGAACGCACTACACAGCAACAGCGGGTCTGCTTCTTCCGCGTCGCGCATCAGATTCAGCGCTTTCGATGACAAATATTTGAGGGATACGGTAATCGCGTTCGACGAGGATGATGCCATTAGTCAAATTCCAGGCGGAGAGAGCGCGAAAGAGCACGTGCATTCTTCTGCTAGTTCTATACATCGTGTCCCTAGCAGCATCTCTCAGGTGAATTCGAAAATCACAACGAAAATATGTGCAGCAGAAGATACAGGCATGCCGAGTACTCTCGTGGTGCCTAGCTCCAATGGTAAAGCAAGCGAGCGAGACTTCTTCAGCGATCTATGTCTGGCCTCAGAAGACGTCCGTGAGTTCCTGGCGCACCTGCGACAGACCGTGAGCGACAGCGAGGACGATGATGCTCTCAGGGACGCGCATTCATTATGCAACTAATATTGCGCTTTTCAATCGTTACTAGCATGTCTATCACCTGTTATATTATAAGTTTGCCGCTTTTTTATTCTAGTGCTAGTCGACGAGAAAGACTTTCGTACTTTCTGAGTCAAACGAAGCCACTTACTGTCTCTCTGATGAGATGACGACTCTGCATAGGTCAGCCTTA